ATCCAGCCATGTGCTGATGGGCGTCTAGGCTGGCTCAGCTCCCAGCTATTGTGAGCAGTTTGGCTGTAAGTGCAAATATCTGGGTGGTGTGTGGCATTAGAGTCCTTCAAGAGGGGTTTCACTGGGCCGTGTGGTGGGTCTGTTTTCACTGATTTGAGAACCGTCCACACTTAACTTCTTTCTGTAGTGGCTGTACACAGCCCGCCCCCACATAAAGGTTCTTCCCCATGTTCCCCATGACAGCATTTGTTGTCATTTAAGTTTTTGAGTCAGGGTCTCACTGTATAGCCTTGGCTGTCCTGGAACTCACTGTGTAGACCAGGCTGGTTCACTGCCTCTGCCTGCTAAGTGCTGGGATCAAAGTGTGCCCCCCCCCCCATTCCCTGCTAATGCCTAGTTCTTTGGACAACTGCCTTCACTCCATTAGCCCGTTTTTTAAAAAAGATTTATGCCGGGCGGTGGTGGCGCACGCCTTTAATCCCAGCACTTGGGAGGCAGAGGCAGGCGGATCTCTGGGAGTTCGAGGCCAGCCTGGTCTACAAGAGCTAGTTCCAGGACAGGAACCAAAAGCTACGGAGAAACCCTGTCTCGAAAAATCAAAAAAAAAAAAAGATTTATTTATTTATGATGTATACAGTGTTCTGCCTGCATGTACACCTGCACCCCAGAAGAGGATACTAGATCTCATCATAGATGGTTGTGAGCCATTATGTGGTTGCTAGGAATTGAACTCAGGACTTCTGGAAGAACAGTCAGTGCTCTTAACTGTAGAGCCATCTCTTCAACCCTAGCCCATTTTTTGATCAGATGACTTGGGTTTTTATGTGTAATTTTTGCAGTTAAAAATGCATAAATGCACATGTGTTTGTGTATAGTTCTTTGAGACAGGGTCTTTCCCTAAACCCAAGGCTTGTATTTTCTCTGCTTGGCTGGAAAGTATCAAACCCCAGGATCTTCTATCTCCACCTGCAGAGTGGGTTAAAGAGGGTATGCTGGAGGGCTGACCTGTGTGGTTCTGGAATCTTCTATCTCCACCTGCAGAGTGGGTTAAAGAGGGTATGCTGGAGGGCTGACCTTTGTGGTTCTGGAATTTTCTATCTCCTCTTGCAGAGTGGGTTAAAGAGGGTATGCTGGAGGGCTAACCTGTGTGGTTCTGGAATCTTCTATCTCCACCTGCAGAGTAGGTTAAAGAGGGTATGCTGGAGGGCTAACCTGTGTGGTTCTGGAATCTTCTATCTCCTCTTGCAGAGTGGGTTAAAGAGGGTATGCAGGAGGGCTCACCTGTGTGGTTCTGGAATCTGAGCTCTGTCCTCATGATTACATAGCAAGCGCTCTTAACCACTCAGTCATTTCCTTCACTTACCCCCCCCCCAGTTAAAAAAACAATACAAAACTAAAACATCCTGGATACCTAATTTTATATATAAAGGTGGTAAAGACCCCCACCCCCTCTGTAACCTTGTCCTTCACTCTGCTGTTTCCTTTGCTATGTGGGCTTCTTCATTCCTTATAATCCCGTTTGTCAGTGTCTGGAATTCGTTCCTGTGCTGTTGGAGTCCTGTGCAGAAATCTCTTGCATTTGCTGTATCTTAAATATATATGTGTATGTGTGTGTGTATATATATATGTATATATACGTATATATGTATATACACACATATACATATGTATGTATGCGTGTATATACACATATACGTATGTGTATATATGTGTATATACATATATATATAGTTTTAATGTATATAGTGTGTGTGGCGGGTAGGGGTGGGGGTCTGCCTGAGTTCATTGCCCCTGGAGAGAGTATTGGGTTCTCTGGAGCTGGAGTTACATGTGATCGTGGAGCCTTACATAGGTGCTATAGCTCAGTCCTCCACAAGAACAGTATAGCTCAGCCTCCGAGTGGTCTCCAGCCCAGGTGAGCGCCCCTGCCTGTGTCGTCAGGGCTTCTGCCTCCAGTCCTATATGACCGGCTGTGATCTCTGATGACTGGGTGTCTGCTGAGTGGGAGCTACAGATCTAGCTTCAGTCTCTGTGTGCTATGGATGCTCTTCTCTAGTGCGAGCCGATGACAGCTTTGTCAGAGTGGGCTGTGATTGTGTGGGCTTCTTGCTGGGTCCTCTGTTCTAGTCCATGGGGCTACCTATCTGTCTCTGCCTGTACCGTGCTGGTTTTTGTTACTATGGCTTTATAATTTGAGATCAGGTACTTTCAGCATTGTTCTTCCTACTGAAGATTGCTCTAGCTATTTGGGGCCTTTTATACTTCTATATGAATTTTAGGATTTTTTTAAAAATAATTATGTGGAACATGTCAAGAATTTCAATGGGGTTACACTGAGTTTGCAGATCGCTTTTGGTAGCCGTCACATGTTAGTCACTGTGAATTCTTCCTGTCCACTTATTTCTTCACTATCTTAAAGCTTTCTTGTTTGTTTTTATTTTTTGAGATAGAAGGGTTTTGCTGTGTGCTCCTGCCTGGCTTGGAACTCCACATAGATCTGGCTAGCATCGAACAGGGAGATTTGCCTGCCCTGCCTCCTGACTGTTGGGGTTAAAGGCTTGCACCACCACTGCCAGCAAAGTGTCTTGTAGGCATCTTTCAGAACCTAGGTTAGGTTTGTTTATTTATTTAATTTTGGGGGGGGGTGTTTCTCTACATAGCTTGTCCTTGAACTTGCTCCTTGACCTCAGACTCACAGGAGACCCACCTGCCTCTGCCTCCTGAGGGCTGGGACTAAAGGCACATGCTGCCATACCTCATTTTATCTTTTTTATTTGTGTTTTATATGTATAGGTATTTTGTCTACAAGTGTGTACACCACACACACACAGTCCTAGAGGTCAGGTCCCCTGGTTGTGAGCTGCCATGTCGGTGCTGGAAACCACACCCAGGTCCTCCACAAGAACAGCCAGTGTTGTTCTTTTTTTTTTCTTAAAGATTTATTTACTTATAATGTATACAGTGTCTACATGCCAGAGAGGGCACCAGATCTCATTACAGATGGCTGTGAGCCATATTTGGGTGCTGAGAATTGAACTCAGGACCTCTGGAAGAACAGCCAGTGTTCTTAACCTTTGAGCCATCTCTCTAGCCCAGCAGCTAGTGTTCTTAAGTGCTGAGCCATCTCTCCAGCCCGGTTCATCTTTCTGAAGTGAGGTCTCGCTGTGTTGCTCAGGCTGGTCTTGCACCAACAGAACTTCTCTCTGCACTGAATTGTCTCATTAGCCTTGCTTGTCGGGGATCAGCAGACCTTAACATTAGATTTCATGCTAGACTGTTCTCTTGATCTCTGTTTATCTGTCCACCGTGAGCAGCGCAATGCTGGTTGTTGCAGCTTTGTGAAGGTAAGTTTTGAAGCCCTTGTAGCCTTTTCTGTTGGTTTATTTGTTTTGACAGAGGGTCCTCCTGTAGTCCAGGCTAGCCCTGAATTCATGATCTTCCTTCCTCACCGTCCTGAGTGTGTGATGGCGGGTGTGTGCCAACACTCTGCTCTTTTAGTAAACTTTATGTGAAGTCAGATGCTTTGCCAGTCCTGTGCTGCTCCGTGGCTCTGGAGCTCCCTCTCCTGGTGCTTTCCTGTATCGTGTTCAAATTAGTCCCTCATTTCTGAGATCTGGTTGTTTCTTTGCTTTTTTGCGGGGGAGCGAGGAGAAGTGTGTGTTGGGGGTCTGTGTATATGTGTTCCATGGCATGCATGTGAACAACTTGGGGAGTTGATTCTCTTTCTTCCAAGGCTTTAGGGATCGCTCACAGGCTGTCAGGAAACACTTTAGGGATCGCTCACAGGCTGTCAGGTTTGTGCAGGGAAACACTTTCACCTGCTAAGCCATCTTGGTGGGGTCTTCTGCTCTAAAAAAATTTTTTAAGTGTGATTTTGAAGTAAGCTCTCTTAAGTAGTTCAGGCTGGCCTTGAACTTCTGATCTTCCTTCTTCAAGCTTCTCAGCTCTGGGATTACAGGTATATGCTATTATGCCACACCTTTCTGTTTTACTTTGTTTTAATTCCTCTCTCTCTCTCTCTCTCTCTCTCTCTCTCTCTCTCTCTCTCTGTGTGTGTCTGTGTGTGCGCACCCTCACTCAATGGAGGTTGGAGGACGACCTCAGATGTTAGCACTTACCCTCCATATCATATGAGACCGGGTCTCTTTTTATATTCCAAGCATGTTGACTCAGGGGCTTCCAGGAATTCTCCTGGCTCAGTCCCTCATCTCCCTGTAGGAGCTGGAGTTACTTCTGTGTCCAGCTTTCTGTGTCCAGCTTTGCGTAGGTTCTAGGAATACAAACTTAGGTTCTTGCCCATAACCCTGCCTGCACACACATACATAGAATTTAAAAACGCACTAAGTAACTAACTGCTTTTGAGAAAAGTTCAGAGTTATCCTCTGACCTAGGAGGTTCAAGGCCTGAGTGACATATCCCTTTCCGCCCCCCCCCCCCAATCCAAAGCTTCAGTAATTCAGGGATTTGACTGGACTCTCTTCCCCAGTGAGTACCTTTTCTTTTCTTTTTTAAAATTTATTTTTAATCACATGTATGTGTCTGTATGGGGTACGTGCATTTGAGTGCAGGCACCCAAGGAGAGGTGTTGGCTATCTTAGCGCCTCATGGTGTAGGCTCTGGGGCTCTGAAGAGCAAGCAGTACCTACTCTTAACCTTGGGGTCATTTCTCCAGTTCTCCTCACCCCCACCACCCTTTAAAGAAAGATAGGCTTCTCTGCTGGTTTGCCAGGGTCACTGTCTCCCATCCTCTAGGTGTAAGTGTCGCTCTCTTCAGGCCGTCCATGCAGTCCGTCATACAAGCTCTGTGCTGCGGTCAGGTTTAGCCTTGCACTCTTGTTACACTGTTGCAGATCGCTGCTTTCCAGGATTTCTAGCTTTGGATGGACGTTCCCTGTCTCTTTTCTGTAGTGTGGCCTGTGGGCTCACAAGCAAACATTTGCTCATGACAGGAATTTGGGGAATTCTGATCAGGCTTTTGGGCCCTGTTTTCTCTTTTCCAGGGGAACCAGGAAGTGGGACAGAAAGCGATACTTCTCCAGACTTCCACAATCAGGAGAACGAGCCTGCCCAGGAGGACCCTGAGGACCTGGACGGTTCCATACAGGGAGTGAAGCCCCAGAAGGCTGCCTCTTCTACTTCCTCAGGGAGTCACCACAGCAGCCACAAAAAACGGAAGAATAAAAACCGGCACAGGTTAGTGACAAGGTCCCACCCAGTCCCAGAGTTCTTGTGATTGCTGGGAGGGACTTGGTTAGAATGAAAATCCTTGGGTCTGTGGCAGAGCCCTGATGCCTCGGGTGGCAGAAAATCAAAAGATTCGGGTGCAGGTCAAGTGGGCCTGTGTTCTCTGAGGGAGGAGTGGGTGGCAATAGAGAGGCCCTGAAGGATCAATGGGAGTCGCTAGGATGGAATGTGACTCCTTTAAGCCAGCTGACATTGTGAGCTTTGGGTCCTTGCTAAGAGGAAAATGGAAATAGAAACGAGTCCTTGCAGAGTGATTCTGGTTATTGGGAACCAGGTCTTTGACTCCTGGGCCCTGTCTGCTCCTGTGAGAGCTCAGTTGACATGCCTTTCTCTGACTTTTTAAATACGGGTTTGGTTTTGATTGTTATGACTTTTCTATTTTGTAGTTCTCTGAGTATGCTGCCTTCAGATACGGGGAAACACTTAGAGCCCCTAAACGCGGGCGTTCCTTCGTAGGAACCATCTGCGCACTGCTGCTTTTGCAGTGGGAAATGAGATGGGAATGACAGCAGTGGACAGAGAGGTCAGGTGTTGCAGGGATCTTAGTGGGTCACTCTGCCTGGGTTTGTATGTTAATGCTGGGCCTTAACTCAGAGGGGATTGAGTCTGTAGAGGAGGGGAGGGGCTCTCCCTCCTTTTGGTCTTGGAAGCCTGAACACTGTGGGGGTGAAGGGAGTGTACAGGGCTGCGTGGGGGCGCCCATCCTCTGGTTGGCTAATGAGTTATGTTGCTTTAGAAACCTGTGGGTGTCCCTTCCTGCACCTAAGGTGTGACACTGTGAACTCACAGGCCTGGCACTGATTTAGGGTGAAATTTAACTGGTTTAAACCTCTTTTCATCAACAGATTTTTGAATCCTTTTAAGTTTTTCTTGTTCTTTTTTAAATTGCAGAAATAGAGTTTCCTCCCACTAAATAGGGCTGAAGGACCGGTGCTTTACATCTTTCTGCAAACAAAAAATCCACTGTGCTAATCTCAAACTATAGTAAGAAACAGCAAAGAATTGCCCCCTACCGTCTTGGTAAGGCTGTAGGTTATTGGAGCATTGTGGTAGACTTGGGGCTACCTTATCACAGATAGCAGAGACTCATACTCTTTTTTTTTTTTAACTATTTATTTACTTTTAAGTTTTATTTATTTATTCATTATGTATACAGTGTTCTGCCTACATATCTGCCTGCAGGCCAGAAGAGGGCACCAGATCTCATTACAGATGGTTGTGAGCCACCTTGTGGTTGCTGGGAATTGAACTCAGAACCTCTGGAAGAATAGCCACTGCTCTTAACCTCTGAACCATCTCTCTAGCCCAAGATCCATACTCTTAAAAAGAGTTTTTGTGGGCTGGGGAGATGGCTTAGTTTGTAAAGTGCTTGCTCTGCAGGTGTAAGGGCCTGAGTTCTAATCCCAGCACCCACGTCAGAGCACTCAGTGAGATGTATATGTGTCTGTAACTCCAGTGCTGGTGACATTGCAATCCCGGGGGCTTGCTGGCCAGCCAGTCTAATAGAAGTGTTGGGACCCTTTCTCAAAAGCTATGTAGAAAGACACCAGCATCGACCTCTGGCCTCCATATGCATATATGTGTTTATATATGTATATATCATATACACACAAATTGGCATGATAATTCAATACTTTCTTCTGTGTTGTTTTTATTACATTTATTTTGTTGTCATTTTGGATTCTTTTCCTATTTCAAGGTGTCTAAAGCAGGGAGAACATTCTTGAAAGTCCCTGGGGCTCTGCATCACTCACCAGTGTCCTCTCTAGGTCCTCTGCTGTGTGTGACACCCTTGTGCCAGTGATGCGGTTAGCTCTAGACTGGCGAAAGGTGCTGGAGGAGTACCCCGTTTAACTTTACCATTGCAGGTTTCTAGAGCACCTCCATGGGAGTAACACTCTGTCCCTAGCCCTCCCTTTCCTGGCCCCGGGAATGAATTCCTTCCAGAAGCACACCAGCATTAAGAAAGACCGCTGTTGGGCACTGCTCTCCTACGGGGCTAGTCCTGCTCAGAAGGTGGACTGAGTTCTGTCTCCAGGATCCTGTCTGTCTAGTGGCCTCCCAGGGCCTCACGTGCTCATTTGCCCCCGAAGGCTGGTGGCACCGGGCTGCTTTATTTCTTAGGAATCTGGGTCAGGACTGCCCTAAGTGGCACCTCAGTGGGCTAAGGCAGTTGGGGTGAGTCCTGCTACCTTTGCACACTTGAGGTTCAGGGGTGGAGCTCAGTATCCAGACACACTGGTGAGTTGGCACCCAGAGCAGTGAGTGCTTCCTTCTCCACTGTGCGGTGGCCCGTGTATCAAGTCAGGCCATGGTGACAGGATGTCTGAGGACTTGCCACATGCAGACACTGTGGAGGAGCAGTAGGAGGAGATACTTGAGCTTACCCCTCTTCTGGGATATGAAAATTCATCAAGAACCCCCCTCCCCCAAGGCTGGGGATTGAACACAAAACTTGATGCGTGCTAGTCAAATGAAAATCACCAGCTTTCTGAATTCTTATATTTTTGCGTCTGAACAGTAGTTAGGTCCCACTGTCTTTAAAGAGAAAACAGTACTAGCTGCTCTTAGAGGTTATTACTATTCCATCACACCCAGGATTTGTTTTTGTAAAAATTGTTGCTTGTTTTAAGATGGGGTTTTATTATGTAGCCCTGGCTGGCCTCAAACTAATTTCTTCTGCCTTAGCCTCCCGAATGCTGGGTTTGAGAGGGATTACCAAGTTTGGTTAAATAGGTACACTTTTATTTGTGTATGTATTTATTTCTACTACTAGGGATTGAACCCAGCATGCATCTACCAGTAAGCCACACCCCCAGCTGATACCATCTATTTTCATTTGTGAAGGTTGAATCAGTTTAAGAGGAAACCATTTTTTAAAAGTCCTGCTTGTCTGCTGGTGTGTGTGTCCAGGACGGTCCTAAGTGAGATGGTTGTGTAAGTGGTGCTGAAACTCAGCTCTTGTATGATGCTCACAGACATGGTCTAGCAGAACAGCCAATTGAGCATTGTCTTCCTGCCTGTCTCCAGTCTGAAAGGTGTCAGAACAGTGAGGAGCTGGAGTCAGAGCCCAGGCTGATGCTCACTTTGGCCTTTCAGCCAGGACAGCGCAGAGTTGCATCCTCTCCTCTGTGTTTATGGATCCCAGTTACCTTTGTTTTGCTGGGGGAGGGTCTTCAGACCTTGGTATTCCTTAGCTGCTACACTGATGTAAACAAGTAGACTTGCCATACTAGGCAAGGTGTCATGTGCCTGCATTTGCAATACTTGGAGACTGAGGCAGGACAGCAAGTTCGAGGCTAGTGTGGGCTATATTGTGACGCCCCCCCCCCCCAATCTCATTAAAAAAAAAAAGGCCAGTGAAGTGCTGTCAGCAGTTTAGGGGGCAGAGCTTGTGAAAGAGAACGGTCACTGAGGTTGGTCACTGAGGTTCGGGCCTCAGCGTCTGGCTTCCAGGAAGAACCCTGGGTGGCACTGGGCATGTTCACAACGTGAACTTGAATGGAAAGTTACATGCTTTGCTGTTTTCAAAGTGCGAAATGTTTTGTTGCCTTTTGTTTCAATGACAATATGTAATGCCTACTTGTAGCACCTTTTGCTCTGTAACTAAACCTCTTCCCCCCCTCCTTCTCTGGCTGTCCCCTCTTCTCTCCCCCGCTAATCTCTGACTCCCCCACCCTCTCTCTTCTAATGCCCCAATTCTGTTTTCAGTACCAATATCAGCAGTTCTAACCCTGAGTCTGGCAGCTAACACCAGGGCTGTGGCCTCTGAGTGCTCAAATGCAGTCACTTGCCCTCCCGTCGCCTGCTTTCTGCGCTGGTCCGCACTGCGGGAAGGGAGTCCCCCTGACCACACAGTCTTTGGTGCTTTGATGTTCAAAACCTTATGGCTTAAGATTCTTAAAACTGACTTTGTTTCCACAAATCTTGCTAGGGTGGCTAATCGACTAATTTGTTCAATTAGTATATTAATTTCTATTGCTTTCTTCCTCTCCAATGCTGCCCCTCAGCCCGTCTGGCATGTTTGATTATGACTTTGAGTAAGTTTGATTTGCATTAGTGTCTGTGCTGTGTTGTTTAGTGTGTAGACCCGGGATGCTGTTCTGAGACCTTTCTAACCCATAGTTTGTCTGTTTGATTGTAGGTATGTATATTAGGTTAGGCTGGGAAGTTTTTTTTAAAAACAGAAAAACGTGATGGAGGTAACATTTTATTTAATAACTTAAGCAAAATTAAGTAAACTTCACTTTTATGCATTTTAATTTCTTTTTAAATAGATAACCTGTACTTTTAATTCATATTTAAATTGATTTTCTGGCTTTGCTTCTTAAGGAGATTAGTAGCTTAAGATTTTGATATTTTGCTTTTAAAAGATTTAAAATTTGAAATTCTTATAATTTCTTTTGTGTTTCATATCCAGAAACACAAACTCCTAGTCTGTTTGCTGTTGGTCGCTGCGTGTCTCAGCACCTGTCAGTGACATAGTTACAGAGCTAACACATTGACCTGAGCATGCCCTCTTAATCCAGTTTCTCTAATTTTGCAATAGTTTTTATTTAAAAATTCTGGCTTTTATAACTGCTGTATATTTCTTTTTTTAGTCACCTCAGTTTGCCTTATGGCAAAAATATCTGCTCATTTTTTTTAATACTTGCTTACTATCTGAGGACACAGCTAAATTGTGTCATAGTCTAATGAAGAATGTGGACTTTAATTGAGTAGCCTTTGTTAGAGCTGTGCCCTATGCAGTAGCTCCTTGTTGCCCTGTTTCTGAAGTTAAAGTGCAAATCTCTTTTATTTTTCCTACCACAGGATTGATCTGAAGTTAAACAAAAAGCCCCGAGCTGTAAGTATCAGCCAGAAATCTCAAAGACTGGCAGTGTTTTTTTTTTTTTTTTTAAAATTGGTTTTGGTGGGTTCTTAAAGGGTTCATCATCTGTGCTAGACAAGGGCCCAGTCAGAGGCTGACGAGCTTGTAGATAGCTTTGGTTTTCAGAGTCTGTATGACCCTAATCTAGGGTCACACTCTAGTTTCTAGACCCTGAGGGTCCATCTGTATACTCCAGCTACCAGCTGTTCTTTACTAAAATGTTTTAGAATGGACATGGTGGCGCATGGCCTTAATCCCAACACTTGGGAGGCAGAAGCAGGCGGATCTCTGAGTTCGAGGCCAGCCTGGTCTACAGAGTGAGTTCCAGGACAGCCAGGGCTACACAGAGAAACCCTGTCTTGAAAAATCAAACCAAACAACAAGAAAAAAAAGATTTATTTTAGTATATGTGTGTGGGTGTGTGTGTGTTTATCACACACACGCACATTTGCTCAAACCAGGCTCTGAGTGTGCTATGACTTGTGTTTCTTTCTCTTTAGGACTATTAGAAGACTTGTTAGCAGCAGCTTCCAGCCGTGGAGCCCTGCTTCCCCTCTGACCTCACAGCGACAAATGTCCCTCACCTGACTGTGGCCATCCGCCTCTGCTCCCCCAGACCCAGTGCCTGTAACTGGCTAGTCTGTCTTAACTGTACGAGTCCTTTCTATAAGACTGGGTCATTTGCCATTGTCATCGGTAGTAGCAGTTCAGCGGGAAGAGCTGTTCTTGGTCCCAGTCCCAGCGGGTGGCTAACTGTGCATTTCTCCCTTAGAATGAATGTCTCCCCCCAAACTGGCTGGCACCAGCTCCATCTGTGACCCCCCCCCCCAATCGAGAAGTGCACATCTCTGATTTTGTGTTCCGCTGAAAGTAGAGCCCGGGTTCCACTGCAGATGGAGGCTGTAAATATCTGCCACTCTTTCGTTTGGTTTTGTGTTGTATTATTTTTTTATTGTTGTTTTTATCATCTGATTTTCTTTTGGGACATTTTGTGATGCCTGTACTTTCCTGATGACGCATCCAATGGTCTGTTTCATGTGGTGTCAATATTCATAACTGAAACTAAAGTGGCTTTCAGAAGTAAATGGGCAGTGTGGCTCTTTGACTTCTTGACTTCTGTAGGGGGAAGGTAGAGAGCGTTTAATGGTGGCGTGTTGGAAGCAGACTCATGTCCGAGGAACAAGAAAGCTGGAAAACGCTATCCTCGTAGAACAGACACTTGGATTCCTTTGTAGAAATAAAATTTCCTTGCCCTCCATCTCTCATGCTTTCCTTCTCAGCCTGAGAGTTTCTTTTCCATCTTTTCACACTCTCTCCCTTCTCCCTCTGTCTCCCTCTGTCTCCCTCTGTCTCTCTCTGTCTCTCCCTCTGTCTCTCTCTCTCTGTCTCTCTGTGTCTCTGTCTCTCTCTGTCTCTCTCTCTCTCTCGACAGTGTTTCTTCTCTCTGTGTAGCTTTGGCTGTTCTGGAACTCACTCTGTAGACTGGGCTGGCCTCAAACTCACAGAGATCCTCCTGCCTCTGCCTCCTGAGTTCTGGGATTAAAGTCATGCATCATCACCACCCAGCTTCCATCTTTTCTCCTTTTGCTGACATTCACTTGGTTAGATGTTGTTCTAAAAATCACCAAGCCCATGGGAGAGCCCAGAATTACTGAAAAGTCAGCTTCCATTGAGTGGAGTGAGAGCCTCACAAGAACCAGCACTGCCCACAGAGAGCCCGGCCTGCAGAGTCCCTGACAGCTTTGGCTGTCTTCAGTGCAGTGGCCTTGGCTGCACATTGTGGTCACCTGGGAAGCTCAGCCCAATGCCAGAGCTGAGTTCCCAATCCCAAAAGGATTCTTTCACAGTCCAGGCTGCTGACTAGGAGCCTGCTGGAGGCCATTGTGTTAGAAACTGAGCCATACAGCCTAGGTCGGGCAAGTGGTGAGATTCAGGGCCTTGCCTGTCCTTTGACTGTCTAAGTCACAGTCCTTTCTGATGCCTGGGTAGGGGACTTGGACCATCATGGCCATGCTTTGGGCTGAGCATAGATGGCCTATTACCAGAACCACCCTCTGGTGTGCAAAGGCCTTGCCTTTTGTTCTTGTTTTTTTTTTTTGTCTTTATTTTTTATTTATTATTATTATTATTATTAGTTTTTTGAGACAGGGTTTCTCTGTGTAACAGTTCTGGCTGTCCTGGAACTTCCTTTGTAGACCAGGCTGGCCTCTAACTCACTGAGGCCTGCCTGCCTCTGCCTTGCCCCGTGCTGGGATGAAGGTGTGTGTCCAACCACTGCCCAGCTCCTTTTGTTGTTAAAATCCATTTCCTTTGATGATTTCCCAGTCGGTGACCATGTCTTTGGAAGCAGAACTCCAGTTCCCCAGTTCTTTTTTTTTTTTTTTTTTTTTTTTTTTTTTTTTGGTTTTTCGAGACAGGGTTTCTCTGTGGCTGTGGAGCCTGTCCTGGAACTAGCTCTGTAGACCAGGCTGGTCTCGAACTCACAGAGATCTGCCTGCCTCTGCCTCCCAAGTGCTGGGATTAAAGGCGTGCGCCACCATCGCCCGGCAGAACTCCAGTTCTTAAGGAAGTAGTTTAAAATACGTAGATTGTTCCTTGAAAATGAGAACCCAGAGCGTTTTGGATCCTTCCTTCTTGGTTTATCGCCTTATCCTAAACTCTGGGGAAAGCAAATGACCCTCTTTAACACATCTGAGCCTCCACAGTTGGCTGTGTGTAGAGGAGCAGCGGTCCTGCTCAGTGGAAGGTGTAGTATTTATTTCTTGCATTGTAGAGAGTTGGGTGAAAGACATCAACCATGCTAGGCACGTGATCTACTACTGCGTACCCTCCCAGGCCCTAAGCGTGTGTTATGTAGCAGCATGTCTATGTATGTGACTGTCCCCATGTGTTTGTAGAAGATTGTGGCTTGTGAGCTGTTTGTTTTATCACCTCCCCCACCCCGTAAAGTTTACCCATTGCTTGGGTCTTCCTGTTTTTCTGTCAGCTGGCCAGTGTTACTTAGGCTCCGAGAGACTACTTGCTTTTCCCGTCTTGGGGTGGCTTAGAAAAAGGCATCTGGAGCGATTGTCTGGCATGCAGAGTCCTAGGAATTGATCCTCAGCACCGTTTAAGTGTGGGCATGGGGGTTCCTGCCTGTAATCCTAGCTCACAGAAGGATCAGAAGTCAAGGGTGGTAGAGGTCAGCCTGAGCTACAAGAAACCTTACTTTAAAAAAAAAAAAAAAAAGAAGGACCAACTCCAATAGGTTCCTGCCTCTCTGCACCATGCTGTGGTCCTCATTTTATCCACCAAGTTTGCTTGCAAATCATCGATGGAAAGAATGGCTGTGCTCACGCAAGAGAACATTAATCTCAGTGGACAGGGTAGTCTTTCATTGCAACCAGCCAGCCAGCAGACCCTGAAGTGACAACCAGGGCCCTATGTGTTGTGAGAGGGGCTGGTTTAATGGAGTAAGCCAGCTCCTAAGTCCTACAGCCCGGGCTGTAGCTAGCCGGCCTGTGTTGGAGGAGCAGGTGAGAAGCACCAGCTGGCTCCAGCGATGCACCTGTCCTTTGGAAGGACAAACGACAGGAATGGAGGGTGGCACACTTGTTTCTGCCACCAGGTACCCTTTTCTGTGCGTCTCTCCAACACGGGAAGAAGAAGAGCTTGCCCTTGGCCTCCGGTAGTTAAAAGACAAGACCTGGCCTTTTGTGGTAACATTGTTGTCAGCTACTTGGAGGATAGTCTAGCGCAAAGCTTCATGGGAGTGCCAAGCCCACAGCTCCACAGCTCCAAGGACTGAGGAAGGGGCCATTCTGTTTAAAGTCAGTGTCCTGGGGTACATGAGGAAAATGTGGGGAACAAGAACAACCCACAGAATTGGGGCTTGAGGAGGGACTTTAGGAAGCTTGGGAGTTAGGACAAGGCCAGTGTGGACCAGGAACAATGCTTTCAAGCCCACTGTGCTGATCCAGAGACCCCAGGTCTCAGCAGCCTTGGCACTGTAAGAAATGGCTCTGTTGTTGCACGGCTTAAACCGTTAACCCCCACTTGAGTCTGTGCCATTCGCTTTCAGGAAAATCCTTTGTTCCAAGAGTGGGAAGCAAGCAGTGGGGTCTTCACCTCGAGGCTTTTGGTCCTGTGTGCAGGAAGTAGAGAGTGATGCTCCTGTCTCCACCCTTGCAGTAAAAACAAAGCTCTGAGGAGCCTTCGCTCATAAGTAGTTTCTAAAGCGCTCTCTGGCTTAATTTTTGCACTTACTTTGGTCTTTCCCACCCTCAGCTTTATTCCAAATCACCGAGGCATTTGCACACTGGAAAATTCTTTTCAGAAGCTCTGACTTGATGGAAGTGGTGGATGGTATTCTGTATGCACAACCTCCTTCCAGCATGGGGCTGTGTATATATAGTGCCTAGGAAGACTCTGTGTGTGTGTGTGTGTGTGTGTGTGTGTGAGAGAGAGAGAGAGAGAGAGAGAGAGAGAGAGAGAGAGAAAACGAACGTGAGCACATGTCAGTCTATCCCTGTATTCCCAGGTTTTGGTCTTCAGGGCTAGCCTCAGGATTTGAAGCACAGGTTTCATTTTGAACACTGCTCTGTGGGGTCAGCCATGCCGTGGGTGGTTACGGGTGCTGGCCCTTGCTTATGTGTCTATGGGAAAGGGAGTGGGTGTGGGTGACGGCTTGGGGTGTGGGAGGGAAAGGCCAGATCTTGGATGTGTTTTCTCTTTGGACCTCCGCCTTGTGTAGTTCTTCACTTGAAATATGTTGTGTAATACGCCTAAATATTAGTTCATTAATATATGTGGATAATTTATAAATAAATATTAGGTTGAACCACAAGAAACTGCTGACAGTGGCATTGTTTTCACCGGTGAGAGTGACTGCCGTCAGGTTTAATAGCACGTGTTGGAGGTGTGTGCACTCCAAAGCTTTGTTGCTTATGTGCAGTGATACACCGTAGGCCCCTGGTCAGTGTCCTCCTGGCTCCACACCTTCACCCCAGACAACCTGCTCTGCATCTCAGGATGGTCAGGGCCTTTCAAATATGTCATCCGAATACGTGTGTCAGTCTGTTGAGGCTACTGGAATAGTAACATAAACTTGATAGCTTACAGATAACTGTCCTAGAAGCAAGAAAATAGAAGATCAGGTCACCAGTAGATGTATGTGCTTGGTAAAGGGTCTGGATCCTGGTTCCCAGAGGCCTTTGCTGTCTCCTTGAGTGGTGGGGAGGGAGCTCCTTGAAACCTCTTTGATTTATTTTAAATTAATTAACTTTACTTTAAATACATTGTGTTTTGCCTGCAAGTATGTCTGCGTGGGAGAATCAGATCCCCTGGCACTGGAGTTACAGACAGTTGTGAGCTGCCACGTGGTTGCTGGGAATTGAATCTGAGTCCTCTGGAAGAGTAGCAGTGCTCTTAACCACTAAGCCACTTCTCTAGCCCCCTTTTTCTTTTTTGTTTTTTAAATTAGTTTTGTTTTTTAAATTTGTTTGTTTGTTTAATTGAGACAGGGTTTCTCTATAGCTTTGGGGCCTGTCCTGGAACTAGCTCTTGTAGACCAGGCTGACCTCGAACTCACAGAGATCCACCCGCCTCTGCTTCCCAAGTTCTGGGATTAAAGGATGTGCTGCCGCCACCTGGCTTCAAGCCTCTTTGAGAGATCAGTTTGTAATTCTGCTCTAGAGAGCTCCACCCATTTGAGCTCACCATCTGTAAACTTTCCCTTTTGATATCTTCACCCTGGCCATTAGAATTACCACCAGGTTTGGGGAGAACTTTTGGCCATACCCATGTGCAAATGGTACCTTCAGATGGTGTTGGAGTGCATTCAGCGGGGACTTGGGTCTCAGTCACACAGCCTCTCTAGAGACGGCAGTGCTGTGTCTTGCAGGAACTTTGTGGCGTCTGAGGACCGCGGACAAACACTGTTTGCAAAGATGGTAAAGTGCTTGTTCTGCTCTGCCCTTCCTTAGATTAGAAGACGCCCAAAGGCGGCCTCGGGCTGGCAGGATAGCTCAGCAGGTTAAGCCATTTGCCCTAAGCCTCATGGCTTGAGTTCGATTCTTAGGACCCACACCTTGGACCTAAACTGTCCACTCATGCACATGTGTATGCGCGCACACACAAGTGTAAAAACATACAGAGCCAGGCTTGGTGGTGCACACCTGTAATCCCAACCAGCAAGCGAGAAGCTGAGGTAGCAGCTTTCCTATGCCAAGCTACCTGCAAAACAAAGCAAAACCAAATTCCAAATACACAGCTGCCTCATTTTCACTGGCTTTACTAGTCCACTGCTGCGTGCCAGTTCTGTAGCCTGTGCTCTAGTGGTGGTGGTGGTGCTTCCCAGCTTTTGCTGCTGCAGTAAATGCATTCCGTCACTTTTGCAGATGAGGCCCCCGGGATAAATCAGTAGGATTGCT